ACAGACACCCGCTGTGTCACTCAGGCCACATCCAGACAGAAATGATTAAGTGCACTGACAATATTAAACTTCTGGGAAGTTCAAAAAAAAGGGGGGGGGGGGGTAAGAGATATTAAGGGGCACAATTTCAAGGGACAAAGCACAGCATGACGTTGATGAAATATCACAGGATAGAAAGCGTGGTATCCAGTTTGGGAGTATACAGCATGTGTATTTTTATGAGAACATCTGTCCTTTTATTATATCATATTTTACTGTTTTTTACTATCTTAACTGTTTCCAACTCAGTTTCACTGCATGTATTTTTGTATCTGTATGCATTTAAAAAATAGATACATGTTGAATCATTGGAGCTTAAAGTAAACAGAAAAAGGTTTGAACAAGGTTTAAACAAGATTTGAACACTGTAACATCATTGTGTTTTAATGAGATCGATGTTAGTGAGGCAGTGTCCTGTGTGCTTTAAAGAGAGGTTTTTATTGGTGCCATTTTGGCTGCTACATAAAATTAATGTCTTTGTTCTGCTAATTTCCTTACTATGTTTTAAAGACTGTTTTACAGATTTGATCATATATAAAAACTTAAACTCTCATGTATGGATGGTGGTTGGGAGGTCGATGCTGTGAAGGTAAGTTGTTACTGGCAGCAGCTGTAATATTACTTAAAGAAACTAAATAATCAGGCTCTTTCATTAAAAACTGGTTCTGCATTATGGCTGCACAGACAAGTCCATCTTTACGCTTTATCTGGCTGTTCAAAAATCACAAATGGAATCTGCTATGTCCCGCACAGACATGAGCCTCCAGAAACACAGCTCGCTGCGTGGAACCAAAAGTGGAGCAGAGCAGAACTCAGCTGGGATGACAGGAAGCACAACACATTAAATGTGTGATTGACGTCTGCTTTACATCGTTATGAAAAACAGGATGAATTAACTAATTTTAGTGATTCTCTTTGTGGTTTACTAATTGTTTTAATCAAAAGACCACTGTGTGAACCATTTCAGACTTATCTGATGCTACAATAATAATATGATTACTGTTAGTCTCATTACGAATGTCCTCATTAATAATAAAATGTGAAACATGTTTATCATTGTTGTAGCCACAAASGAAAAGTTTCTAATTCTGCAGCTGTGGCATCCTCTGCAGTAACAAAGCTGATTAACATGGAAACACCAAAACCTCTCCTGGTATCCCACAATGTGTGCTTCATCGTGCRATGTTGATAAATCAACATATTCAGAGTTCTGGGAGTATCAGTGTTGAAGAACTCTCACTGAGTTGGGTCTTAGGTTGGGGTCTAACGTATGTCTCCTGTGGTGTGCACTTCAGCTAAAATAGTTGGGTGAGGATCACATCAGAATCTGGGCAACTTTAAGTCAACATCATGGAGCTGTTTGTGCTGTGGAGAGGCTGGCTGTCCTCACTTCCTTATGACCTCTGACCCCTGAGGTCTTGACTCCAGCCCGACTGTCAGGCTGTCTGTCTCTCTCTGAAACAATATCACAGCATCTTAAACTGAAGTGCATTGTTCAGTAAGTTTACCTTTGCTATTAAAAAGCTCATAACAAGTTAAAAGTCAAACATGGCTCAGCATGATCGAATGGGAAATGCCACAAATGCGCAAAATAAAAAAATGCAAATATTATGTTGAAYGATAAAAAAAAACATACCTTAAATTAAAGAAACTTGCAAAGACCTGACACAGAACCTATCTATGTACTGCTAGTCGAGGCCTCATTAAAACGGTCTCAGCGGAAGGGCCTCAGGGACAGGATGTCTGAAAAAGATCTCATTTCTTCATTATGGGTGTGTGGCTTCCTCTTCTATCTGGAGACACTGGGCAGTAAGAGGCCACAGTCTGCAGAGGCTGGAGCCAGGGTTCCTTGGCCCTCAGATAAGAGAGGAATGGYTCTGTGCATGAATGTTTGAGAAGAGTAAAACAGTGCAGCATATCTCAGAATAATGTTTTTGAGCCYGCCAAGGATGCTGAATTCTTACGAGTCCCAAAATGCACCTATGGCTGTGTTCACAATGCAGGCAAACACAACCTAAATCAGATTTTTTTTTGCCCCCGTGCAACCCATATTTRATTTTGCACTGACAACCTGAATGTGACAGATCTGATTTTTTGCAAATCAGACCCAGGGCTTTTCAGTGTGGTACTAAAAAGGATACATATCTGATGATTTTCAAAGTGAGTGCAGTCTGAAGACTCATGTTGTATTCCATCTGACTTTTATGTCAGTGAGGTGGGAGGGAGTGAATCGATCCAAGTAATAATGATACTTACCTCAAGTCATGCAGTTTAAATCTTGTAACTCCAAGTTTTCAGCTACAGACCAGTTGCTTTGTCTTTTACCTTTTTAATTTTCCATGTCCTGAATGACTGAGAATCCACAGAAATCTATGATAGTAACACCTGTTTCAGACTGTATCGATAAAATTATTGGATCGATACTTTACCTCCAGCAAGTCACTTCGTTCCATTAATACAAGCTGAGCCAGAGCAGCCAGCTGGTGGCAGGTTCAAATGTAAACGGTGAGCTAAACAAGTCCATTTATTGGGCTCCGACTGCACAATAGCAACTTCAGAATCGACATGCTAACATGTAGCATCCATTTACTTCTGTAAATGACGAGCTAAAAGTGACATCTTCTGTGCATACGGATTGCATCAATGGCATAATGCTTTCACAATGGAGTATGATGGACATTGCATTTAAAATATACTGTGAACATCAACGCAAAAAAATCTAAATTGAGCATTAAGACAATTACACTTTAAGACAATTAAGCCACTGAGAAAAACAACCAGTCCAAATATATACAAAATACCCTAATCAACTACACCAAGGTAACTTATTACTTCCCTCTGCTGTGAAAAAAGTATTGTTTTATCCATGTACTTGTATAGAGGAGGCATTACAAGTAGTTGATAAAAGAATCATGTGGGGTTTAGTTTAGTTTGTTGGATCTGCAGCGGCGGACAGAACAGGGACACTGCAGTCTATTGATCTGTACCCCTCTGTCTCCGCTGTGCACACTGTTGTTGGGAGCAGGTCTGCCGGCCTTTTCTTTGCAGAGCTGGGTAGATTTGAGTGGTGCCGCAGACCAGCGGCTGGGATGTGCAGTGAACACAGTCTGCACAGATAAACAGCGCCTTGTTTAGCCGATTCCTTGCCGCCGCTGAGCCAGCTGATAACAGTGGCGGGAGGGCAGACGGCCCTTGGCGACAGCGGCCGAGGCCTGGGGAGGCAGACACTCTGGCTATAGCAAACCTCCTTTCCCACAACCCACGTACTTTCCCTCTGTGCGGCTAATGTCACCTCTTTTCTCTTTTGTGTGTTTGTTTTTGTTAACAGCAGGGCTGCGTCAGAGAATTGAGGGCTAAAAAAAGAGTCAACATGGTGAGTAAAATCAATGTTGCACTAGAATACACTATTCATCTGCAGGTCAGCAATAATCTTTGCTGCCAATATAAAACCAGGAACATTTTCCCATTTAATGCTTTTAAATCATCTGATATGAATACCAGATGTAATTAGATTCAGTTTGGAACCTGCACACCTCAGTTTAAAACTCTGTTTAAAACAATGTTACTGTGCAGACAGGTCAACAACAAGTCCACACTACAAAGAAAAGAGATGAGAGTTCAACTGCCTCCCCCCCTCGACACCACAAGCTGTCGTCTCATTGTCTTGGCCCATCACCAGGCGCTGCAGTAATTGCAGCAGTGTGGCATTGTGGGGAATACTTTGCATTCCTGCTTTCACAAGAAAACTTTCCCTCCCTCGCAGTGTTACTTTGCCAAAGATAAAACATGCCTCAAAGAGCGCAGTTTCCATTGTGACACTGAGACTATCTGGCTGCGTGTGCCTGTTTACCGGGAGCAGAATGGTAACGAAAAATCCTGCAGCGGTAATAAATTCCAGAGTACCGGAACGTGATCGAGATGATGAGTGGGAGTCATGTAGGTGTCATTAGTCGTGGTGGCAAAATCATAAGTTTCAAGTGATTTATAGGAGAAAGCCACAAGGTTGGAACATTTGCCTGAGCCGGCTGTTAAAATCGAGCTAGAATAAATGCTTAAAAGTAGAATTAAATCATAGGCAAACTCTTTTCCACTAACATTTCATTTTGTCATCTTCTCCCTTAGAACCCCGCTGATAGACCCTAACATACCAAGAAAGAAAAGGCAATCAATAACAGGGGAATATTTTATCCAAGCACACCCCGCCTCCCTCTGCATGTCTATACTCCTTACTTGAGAAACCACATCTGTTTTTGATTTCCCTGCCTCCGTGCTGCAGCGTTACACAATCATGATCAAATGCGCTTTCGGAAAAGGCAGAAACACTCACAAATACAGACACGGAATCATGCCAGCACCAACACAAACATACTCTACACCCTTTTATGGCACACCAAAGGAATGAAGAACAAGATGTTGCTGAGATCCCCGGGCTCGGTGAGCGTGTTTAACGAACATGTAGCTGGGACGCACAGTGATGCCTGAAGGATGTTATGACATCAATACTTCCAGGGGAAGAGAAAATGTTTTACCACTTCTATAAAAAAATAAATAAACCAGTGTTTTTACCCTAAATATCTGACTTCTGTTTCAGCAATGTTGGGAGTTAAAACTGAATAACAGAAACCCTTGCTGAACTTAAAGTTTTTTTTGAAATGTTGAATCGTTCGGTTGTTTGTCGTTTTCAAATTTGTGGTAAAAAACAAACTATTTCTGCATAGATAGCACGAGTTTAGGCTAAATGTTTACATGTTAGATGTCAGCGTAACGAGTAAGCATGAAAATTTGCTGCATTGGAAAAGTTGCTTTTCGTTCTGGGTTTGGTTTCTTTGTTCATGTTAGGATTTGTTTTTTTCTTTTCTTTCCAGAGTGCCCAAAGACAGCTTAAACTGACGAGGAAAACAGGACAAAGACAAAAATGGTAAAAGGTAAGTGAGTTTATTATACAGTGAATTGGTCCAGGTTTCTTTGCTGAAAAGGGGGGAATAACCATTTAGGATGATGTTCTCAGGTAAGTGTTTGAAGTTGTTGGTTTTCTTACAGGATCCAGGCGAGGAGGCTGACAAGGACGAGGAGGTTTGTAGAGGTTCTTTGTTAGGAATCCAGCACAGGTAATTTCCAATTATGTCTCTTGCAAATTTCCGTGAAAGAGAGAGAGAGGCAGGGCGGAGGACAACGAATCACTTCATCTTGGAGTGAAAAAACAAACAGTCTGGACAAGGACCAAACGTGGAGTCACCAGGAGGATCAGGACAGTCCAGCCTGAACACAAGGTAGGTGTAGAAAAAAATACAACAAGGGTTAAATAGGTTTTCTCAAAGAGATAAACTGAGGCTGTCTTAAACAGTACCACGGGCAACTGAATAATCCAGCGTCAGATGGATCTCAGAAGGCGACTGAAATACTCTCAGGCTTAATCAGAGCAGACTATGCCCAGGTGAGTCCATCCAGTCTCCGCCCACCGAACTCTCAGTGAACTGCAAAACAATTAGTCGGGAACAGCAGCAGCAAACCTCCACAGTTCAAGAAAACTTGCAAATTTGTCCAAATCAGCCAGCATGTTACACACACTAGTTTGCTGCTGCAACACTGTAAACCTTTTTCTGTTTAACTTGTGTTTTTGCAGCTCACTCATCAAACCATTTCCTGCCACAAATCTCAGGAATACACAACTCAGCCAAGTAAAAAGTTAGGGTTTATTTATTCTGGGAAAGTCCTTTTGTCCATTTATTTAGTCCAGATTAAAAGTGGACTTTTTTTTTCGTTTGGTGTGGTTTGCATTTACTTTTTTATTGCAAGAAGACTATAATTTATAAACAAAGCCAACCGTGTGATGATCATTGCTCCCATTGGACAGGAATTATGGAGGCAGGAAAGAGCGTAGACTTGGCAATAAAGATGGTGCTGTTAAAACAACTGCAGTACCATTAAGAATTTCAAGAGCAACTCCTTTGAAGGTGGTTTCGCGACGATATACTTCTGATTTGGGACGGCATTGCCAAATGCACGCTGCAACCCAAAGTACACGAGTTGCTCTGTGTGACCTAACCGACAACTGCTCATTGTTTGTAGCTCAGGGGTAGCGCTAGCAACACTGATGGGCTAAATGTTACCATGATGCTTAGCAATGGTGRCTCACTAAGTCCAAAAGGTGCATGTTTCCTGTTGTTGGTTCAGTTCGAGCCTGGTCTGTATTCACCCCGGAAACTAACTGCACCAGAGTTTATTTGGAAGCGGACCGAGACACCACAAAAATGGGTCTTGGTCTGGTTGTTTGGTCCACATCAAGGTTCACACAGGTGTATTCACACCTGCATAAAGGGTCCGGACCAACAGGGAAAACAAATTCTGGTACGTTCAAAGTGGATCAAATATGTCAAGTGTAAATACACCCTAGGTTTTCAATTAATGGCTTCATTGGAAAGGCAGCCATATTTACGGTAAGAATTGACTTTAACCATAATTTCAACAAGCTCCAACTTGCGCACTACTGAGGACACCATAAACATTTCAAGTGTTGATCCTATTAGATAAAAAGGCTCAAAACACATTTTAGATGAGTGAGAATGATCAGACTCTTTGTGGAGTCACTACAAACAAGAGCTGTCACATTCATGAAATATTAGTAGATAATGACCTGTGCAAATAACTGCTAAAAATATTTTAATTATCTTTTGATTTTTTATGCCACTTGGATGGTACAGAATTTCTACTGATGTATTTATTTTACATTGTCTTTACTTGTCTTTACAAAGAATGACTGACAGTGTTTTTGTAACTGAATACAGAATAAATTATTTGAAAACGGATGCCCATTGTGGCTTTTTTCCCTTCGTTTTTAAAATTTGCACAGGTGTGATATTTCCCATAAGAATTACCACTGGTTGAGGACAATAATAATTAAAAGTCTTGCATGTAAATTGCCTGTCAGACATTTAAACAAAGATCATGTTACGTTGAGAAATGATTGCGTAATAGCTGAACCCTGAAAATGTTACGCATAATCTGACACAATAAGTCAAGATCTCATGCCATCTTTATTTTATTTTATTTTATTTTTACCTGGGTTGGCTCTAAAAGCTGATTAATCATAGATGTATTTCCAGCATTTATTTCCTGAAAGTTTAATTTAAAAAAATCAGCCCAGTGGTTCATGAGGCACATTGCTAACAGAAAGACAGAGTTGACCCTTTGCAAAGTTTTAAAACAAGATCAAGTGAGATGTGCTCAGGTTAGCGCCCCAGATTTCAGCTCAATATCTGTCAAACTGACTGCATTATAGTTATTTTTGTGTTTTAGTCATTCGTCCACTTGTTCATGAGATATTTTGTTAACAGACAGAYATACACATACGCACACACACAGCCACAGGCAAAGTCATTATCAAATATTATGCAACCATGTACCAGTATCATCTCAGATAACTGCTGTGGCATGATTAGATGTTAATTGTGACAGGCCGTCTGGTAATGCTTTTGTATTTACTCCCATTAGCTCACATCCTTTTGGTCTGTGTGTGACTGTCGCCATCCTATCTTTGTYGCATGCAACAGTGACCACATGCTAAAAGTGTGATTAGAATAAATCTCTTACTGGGAATTCCCTGACGTGCTCCAGGATTGGAAGGATGCCACCGGCTGGTCGGTTCCTGCTCTAAACTCCTCGGTGGAGTATGACAGCTGGTATGACTCAAGATCAACTTACACTTCCCGGCTGGCTCCGGGATTCCTGCAGTTACATTCAGATGTCACCGTACGATCTCTGTGGAATTTTTTCAATAACCTGCATGCATGGCTCGGGGGGTGAGGGGGATAGTTTAGCCTGATAACTGCAAGTAAAAAATTTGGAAAGAAGCATGTTACTTGTGGGTCAGTCTTGTATATAATCCTTTTTAAGACTGGCAAACGCTCAGCTAAACAAGCATACACATAAAAACTAGCTGTTTATGTAATGACACATTCAGAGGCCGTCGTGTTTTTGTCACCTCTCCAGACCAAGTTCTCTGGTGACCACATTATAGCAAGTTTTCCTTTTTTTACATTCTGATTATCTGCTGGCGTGCCTTTGGCTCTTTTCACAGCTAATGCTCTACTACATGGCTAACAGTTAGCATGAACACTGCAGGTCTAATGGCTTTTTTTTTTTTTACTTATGCAAGCAATCATAATCATCACTGCAATTAACGGATTCACTGCCAATTTTAAATCCACTTAAAAATACTTTGACACCTCATCCATTAAATTTAAAGCCCTCCGGTTTGTTTGGAAGGCTTTTTCTTGTAGCAAGCAGGCGCCGAGAGAATAATGTTTCAGGTCATTTAGAGTCATAAATTACACTGACTTGTAGGTGTATCTTTTTCCCCCACTCGTTAATAAGTGTATTTATGTTTTCACATTATTAATTTCTTAATTCTAATACTTTAACCTAAAACCATGTTTTCATGTCTAAYAATAGGAATCCGTTTGACTCCTCAGCATCAATAGCGTGAACGTGGAGAATAGACTTGATCTGGAAAAGAAAAAGTCATCAGAATACTTCAAACAAAGTTTTTACAAGTACATTCCTCTGCCTGTGTCCTAAATCTGACAGGAGCCAAAGGCTTAATACTCCACCTAAACCTGCTTGTTCACTCCAAACAAGTGGGCGCCCCGATTTAACCCCAGACAAAGGAAACAAAGACTTTACCCTGATGATGGAGTTTTTTTGCATGTCACCAGAGGTGAAGCGATAACATTTCTGACCTATGCCTCAGGCGAGCTTGCCTTGTTGGCGCTCGGCTGGTGCCATCATGTCTTCTCCGCACCAGCTGATTGAATGTTTCTTGTCTGTTTCTCACAGTGATTGCAAACTGTCTAGCCATCTTTGAACACCCCCCCCCCCACCCCGACTCCACCCATATTGTCACGCTCGGCTGCATGCTGTGAAGCGCTCCCAGTGCTATCTGCCTCATCACACCATGATGATAGTGTGGAGACTGGCGTCTGAGCTGGCAGACTGCTGTCAGGCACTCTCTGCTCAGAAAAACAGATTTGAAACAACAACAAAAATAATCGTTTTAGACTTCGGCATCTGTCCCATCTATCTTTAATACTGTTGTTGCACAATCACTCATGTTTGCACATACAGTGATTCTGGTTTGGTTCTTGGGATATTTTTTTGTTGTTGTTTTGTGTAGGAGAGAATAACAGCTTGTAGCCTGATAGACTATCTTGCTGTAGTGAAGAGTTTTGTGGAAAAATGTAATGTGACGGAGGACGTGCCTCACTACATGTCTCCTCTTCCTGACTTCTCTTTTCAGTTGAAAGGTGACGCGATCGCAGTTCTGATACTTAGCTTTGGTTTACTGTGTATCTGTGCTGCTGCTTCCTGTCGACTGTAGCACTGCTGGTGGACTGACAAGGGGGTCAAAACACAGGACACTTTATTCAAAGGGGAGAACAACTAACATAAAACCAGACCTGGCAGACCCGACCCTCAGCGCTGAAAGACTCAGTTACAGGGCTCATGCTTACATCAGATGTGTGTGCAGGAAGTGACTCAGGAGAAATTCTTAATCTGTTCTCAAGTCACATTTGAAGATCAAAAGTTCAAAAAAATATTCATTTTTACAATGTATTCTAAGGGAAATGAATACATAGTAACACAACTTGTTAAATCGATTGACTGATTTAGGTTCAAAAAACCATTTCTGTATATTTATACAGAAGATAAAGGATGTATATAAATAGTAAAATATATGTGATATCATTAGATGATCTAGATAAATATTGTATACATTTATTTTGTCTATGTAAGATCAGATGCAGTATATGTTTATTGACAACATATACGATATAAAGGTATATTAAAGAATAATAAATAGTATAACGGGGTGAATCAAAAGAGTAAACTTCTTGTTCATTTTCATAAAGTAGCTAAAATTACTGATGATTCTTTTGTTGCAAAACATTTTTTTGTATTCTTGTGTATATGTTTGTATAAGATATGTATAAAACTCAAAAAAGTACAAGAGGAAAAAAATATTGTTGTTCCTTACTGTACTGTATTTCCAGGTTTCGTGTCAGGGAGATTACCACAAACTACTAGTAGGTTCCATTAAAATAACTGCAAAAGACAGTCTGATAACTGTGAAACACAACTTTGTGGGGGTTCACAGTACAATATCTATAATATGTGATGCATGGACATACTTTGCCTTATGTCACTGTACCAAACATTTTGACTCATTTTTGTTCATTTAGTTATACTGCAGTGTAGAAAGA